CCATCTAAATAATTTATGACAGATTAGTTGTACTTTGCTTGCTTGAAAATAATGGAGTTCTCCAGATGGCTAGAGAATTTGGCGTTTCTTGCATGTATGAAGATTCTACAAACGACTGGCTGAGGCCATCTCTTTCAAGGGTGGCACAGCTTGTTGCATCTGTGCCAGACAAAGCACGGCTGAGAGCACCGACTTCACTTACATCACAGTATCCTTATTCTCTCATGTGCAAATATATGGTTTAACTATGCATGCAATTACAGCATTTCTATGTGTGTTTAATGAGTTCACGTTTTCTTCAAATGCTGTGTTGTTGCCTATCTTTTATTTGAAGGGATTTGTCAATACACTATCCTTGGTTGTTACAGATTGAACTTTCCTCTATAATTGCCATGAATTTATTGTAAGTTCTTCACAAGAGTATCATAGTTTGTTCTTCAAGATGATAACCATTCAACTTCTATCTGGACTAGAAGAAAGGGCTGCCAATCTTTCAGATAAAGTCGCTACCTTTAAAAAAATTGAACTGGATGGGACTTCGCTATTTGTTGGGGAAACTTTTTCTCGCATTTGCCGGCGTGGTTCTTCTGGTAAGTTTATATATTTTCTTCTAATTCAATGTGCTTCAAGTTGATTTTCTGCAAAACCATTTATTTTTCTGTAGATGTCTTCTTGTACTCTTCATAATTCTTTTTTTCTATTTCTAATGGAAAAAAAAAAAAAAAAAAAAAATTCTTTTACCAACTGAAAATTTGATAAAACTTGATGGTTGCAGCCCTCTATTTGTAGACCAATTTGCTTTGTGATTAATATTTCAAATAATTTTGTTTCATTCATACTTTTGGCCATATGGAATTAGTGTTGACACTGAAGTCAATAATTTCCTCATTCACAGATGTGCTTTCAAGTGAAGTAGTCCTTCGTGTTCTTAGACATGTTCAGAACGTCTTATTCTCCGATAGTGATGTAGCTCCCAAAGACATTTTTGAGTCTAACCCTGAATCAATAATTTGGTCGAAGATGATGGAAGCAATTAAAGATCCATATGCTGTGGAAAGAATGTCTGAAAAGCTTTTGCATCAGCTAGCAATTGATAATGTGACTGACTCTGAAGCATACTGGATTAATTGGTTATTGTTTCATCGGCTTTTTCATCATCAGACATCAATCAGGTCAGTGGACATACTTTCATTTATATTCTTTAACCAACTGAAGTTGATTCTCATTATGTTTCCCTGTCTATTTCCTCCTCTCCCTTTCCCTCACATTTAGATTATTCAGAATCTAATGTAGTGAGAAATAATTATTCATCTTCCTGTGAAAGTAATGGTATGAAACCATGAAAATCTGCAGTATATCAATTGTGTAGTCCTGAAATACTGAAATCTTCCTAGATGAATTTAGGCGGCGTTTTCTCTTATATTTGACTTCTTGGATAGGCTTTTGAATTTCATCTTTATTGAAATGTAAGAATTTTGCTCTGACATTTTGATACCAAATAACTACTGATAAAGTTAGGTCATATTAACTTTATGAACATACATGCATAAAAGAGATAAACTGATAACAATCAAGTGCACTGAAGTTTATGTCATGCAACTAGACATATTATATTAAGTCTCTAATATTATTTATGGAACACTAGTTTTTTTTTTTTGTTTTTTTTTTTTTTTTATGATGACCAAGTAGCACATTACAATGTTGCTTCCATTTATACTTGATGTCAATTCTTTTTCTTCATTTCTCCTTTAGGTCAATGTTTGTGGATAAATTTTTACTCTGGAAAGTATTTCCTATCTGTTGCCTGAGATGGATTCTTCAATTTGCTGTTTTTGAATGCCCACCTGTTGCTGGTCCACTCACAAAAGACCATGAAACCCAAGGTCTCTTAGACACTGTGCAGCGGCTGGTATCAGTGTGGTCTAAGAGAGAGTTTGTGCTGTCTGCCACAATGGAGCAGCAAGCATGTATCCTTTATCATTCTTTAATACTCTGATAAGATGTTCTTGAGATTCTTGGGTGGTGATTACGATTAAAGGAAAAGTTGTTGAGGGTAATTACTTAAACAAATTTTATTTGTGTGAAATCCTGCTGCTTTAGAAGAAACATTTTATTCTCCCATGCTTCTCTCTTCTAAATGTTTGTGACATTTTGTTTCTGAACTCCTCTCATTTTTATTGCATTTTAATTTTTTTCAGATCCTGTTGTCCTTAATCTTGCAAAACAGATGTTTCTGCAGCTTTAGGCCTTTGCCTTGGGAAGATGTCCAAAGAGGAACTAGATAAGACCAAGGATGTGATGCACTTGATTCTTCAAGGAGTTAGCTGTAGGTTCTTTTTCCTTTGTCTTTGGTAGACTGTCTTGTGATGTTTATTGATGATGGCTTATATCTTTAATTTAATTGCTGCCAGGTAGGCTGGAGAGCCCCAATGATTTGGTTCGGAAAATGGCTAGTAGTGTTGCTTTTATGTTCTCTAAAGTAATTGACCCAAAACATCCTCTATACCTTGATGATAGCTGTACTGGGGAAACTATTGATTGGGAATTTGGAATAACCACCCGTGATAAAGAGGCTCTGCTCACCTCAAGTTCCAAAGGAAAGAATCTTGACAAAATGATAACAGCATCAACCTCAATGCCAGAAAAGGACCTTGACTGTGTAACACATGATGAAATGCTCACCAAAAAGAAGGGTGGAAAGAACAAATTATTTGAAAACTCAATTGATCCTGATGAAATTATTGATCCAGCTACACTAAATTATGAATCAGTCTCTGATCAAGATGAGGATGATGAAAAAGCAAGTGAGGATTCTGATTCCTCAGACTCATCTTTACAGCCCTATGACTTGTCAGATGATGACAATGATTTGAAAAAAAAAATTTCACAGTTGGTTGATGTAGTTGGAGCTCTGCGGAAATCCGATGATGCTGACGGGGTGAGTCATTTGTGTTCATTGATCATTTTTGTCACAAAAGGTTTTTCTGACAGGACAGTTTTAGGTAATAGTTTGTGGCATCTCTCATATTTTACCTGCTGCAGATTTTATTGATCCGAAGATCTCCCAGCTTGGACTCATGCATATTGTTTGTAAAATAAATTTTTTGTAAGCCTGTTAACCATTTCTTTTGGGACTCAAGTATTCTTGCTATTGCAGGCGGAGAGGGCTCTTGATGTTGCCGAAAAGCTTGTGCGAGCATCACCTGATGAACTTATTCATGTGGCAGGTGATTTAGTTAAAACTCTTGTACAAGTTCGTTGCTCTGATGTGGCTGTAGAAGGTGAGGAAGAATCAGCTGAGGAGAAGAGACACAGAGCCTTGGTTGCTTTGCTTGTCACATGTCCATTTGAATCTCTTGAAACCCTAGACAAGCTGTTATATTCACCTAACTTAGACGTCAGCCAACGCATTATGATCCTTGATATCATGACAGAAGCAGCTCAAGAGCTTGCCAATTCTAAAGTTATGAAACCTAAACATCAAGCAAGGGCCAGCATTTCAACCATTTCAGAGACTCAACCATGGTTCTTGCCTAGTAGCACTGGACCCCCTGGAGCCAGTGCCTGGGAAGAGATCTCAGAGACAGGAACTCTACTGAACTGGTCAGCTCGTTATGAGAGAGAACTTCCATCAAAACCTGGTCAGATCAAGAAAGGGAAGACGCGCCGATGGAGCCTCAAATCAGCAAATATACAAGAAAACCAGATGGAATTGTCCCATAACAAATTTCCTGTGTATGCAGCAGCATTTATGCTTCCTGCCATGCAGGGATTTGATAAGAAAAGGCATGGTGTTGACTTGCTAGGGAGGGATTTTATTGTTTTGGGAAAACTTATCTATATGCTCGGTGTTTGCATAAAATGTGCATCTATGCATCCAGAAGCATCTGCATTGGCTCCGGCTCTTCTAGAAATGTTAAAATCCAGGTAATTATTGACCATCAGTTAACAGATTGTGGCATTACCTTGAGATTGACTTTGTGGGAGAAGCATTATTTAGTGGCAGGGCAGGATCAACCATTTGCCCTGGTCTCAAAAAATGTTTCAGTGTTTGTGCATACCCGTTGTAGAAGTGATAATAGCATGTATTGATGGCAGTTCTCCTTCTAATAGATACCGGTTTACCCATTCTTTTGCATAGATATCTGATATTTTCACATTTAGAAGACAGCTTCGTATTTTTGAAGAAACAGACATTTGTTGATATGTCACTTAATCTAAAGGTGTCAATTCATGCAGGGAGGTATGCCGTCACAAAGAAGCATATGTCAGAAGAGCTGTTCTTTTTGCAGCTTCATGTGTGTTGGTTGCACTTCATCCCTCTTTTGTAGCATCTGCCTTGCTTGAAGGAAATGCTGATCTTTCTAGTGGGCTTGAATGGATTCGATCATGGGCGCTTGATGTAGTTGATTCAGACACCGATAGAGACTGCTATACAGTAAGCAAGGAATTTTTAAGCTCTATTAAGGCTCAAATTTTTGGCTTCATTGTTTTTTTCGATTCCGAAAAAGGTTATAGTATACACTACATACAGTCAAACATATATTGTCATCTTTTTATACACGTCTTCCAGAATTTACCTTGTCTCATTATTTATAAGGAATGTCCTATATATCTGCTTTTTCTGTCTACTTATTTGAGTAACTGTTGATGTTTTGTAGTTGGCTATGTCGTGTCTCCAACTCCATGCTGAAGTGGCTCTCCAAGCTTCGCGAGCACTAGAATCAGCCGAAAGCACATTCAAGTCAAAGGGTGTTGGCCTTCCATCTACTCTCTCAAAGGGAACAATCATAATCCCCAACTCGAATGTGGAATACTAGCTAGACTTCGCCATCTTGCTACCGATAATGATCTTTTGATTGTACAGTTAGTGACGTTCATTCTAAATTTATAGAAATTTTGTATTCAATTCCCTGGATTCTGTGGTTAACAAATCAGATGATAACTAACAAGATACCAATCATGCGTATACAAAAATCAAAATTATGCAACTAACTCAATTTGCTGCTAATTAATTACCTCTAGTTATCAAAGTTAAAAGTAATATAATCAGACAGATTTTATTCAACATTTAAAAGTGATGCGTTAAGGATCCTTGAATCATGTGATGATGGCTGTGGCCTTTGACAGCCGTCTCTAAATTCTTCTCGTCTCTTGTCCCCTCAAAATCATCATCGCCACAACCACCAACTAACGTCGCCTACCCAAAGGGTCCAAAACCAGTTTACCCCCATAGTCACAGCTAGAGCGACTGAGTTTGCCCCCTCAGTCACGGATCATGATGATATTACTGCGGTGGTGTGGCCTTCACTGGTTAATGCAAACATTCTTTACTATTACAATGTTCAGATTAATGTGGGTGATGATCCTGAGGAGAAGACACCGAAACGCTTCAGGAGTGCGGTCTTCAGAGCTGATATTATCCGAGAGCACAAGAGAAGACGATTCTTTGGAGTAATCATGAAAAGAAGCAGTGAAAAGCAAGATCCGCCACTCAGAGGAATTGTAAAAGGTAAAAGCTTCAGGTTCATGTTCGCATTCTCGTTCTTATATGTGTTCCTAGCACAAACCCGAGAATAGGCAATTGCAGAATGGAAGAAGACTTTGATTGATAGAATTACCTTATCGTTTGAAGCTTTGAACTGGCAAGCTTGTACAGTCAAAGTGGAGTGATCACTTGCCCTAGAAATTTTCCAGGCTCTATATTAATGTTCAAGTCGATTTCTATAAATAATTCATTTGGCAAACAACAATCAATACTGTTGTGGAGAGCTCCTGTTACTCAGTACAGAGAAGCATGGCTGAAAAAATAATAGTAAGACTGCAAGACCGCGGTAGTCCCGAGTGAAACTTAGATACAAGTCACTATTTTCATTACAGGAGGAGTCAATATAATATGCCTACATCATAACGTTTCATAGATTGCATCTACACACTAGGAAAATCAATATTTTAGAAAGCATTGAGCTTCTTGCATAAAAGTTCCATGCTTTCTAGACTGAACCAATTTTTTTCCATCTGCAGAATATTAAGGAAAGTAATAAGACTTTGTCACTAATATAAATTATCAACGCTGCAAATGATAAAATATAAGAGCAACAGGAAAGCTTACAAAGTAAGGATAGCCATCAATGTTAAAATTCTCTGGAGCACTCTCCACAAACATATTAATGTAACATAGAACAAATTTACCACATTCTTCACCATTTCTCTGCTGAGGGACCTGAAATAAAATAAAATTAAACAAGAGCAAATTTACAGGCATTGGTATGAAAAATTAACCAAGAGCTAGTATATTGATCACCTTAGGCACCAAAAGGGGAATTCGAGAAATTGCCTCCTTAGTCACAGGCCTATTCTCTGCTCTATATATGTCCAACACAAACCTTGAACACAGAGAGTAAATGTTCAATACTCAACAGGGCAAAGACAGTAATTCGAAAAATAATAATAACTACAATAATAAAACGCCAAACTTTCTTATGTCTGGTTCAATTCGCCTGGGATTTGCCTTTTCAAGAGAATCCAACAACAAGATGCACGGAGTTCTTGTTTCTGACTGCAAACTCTCACCAAAGTTACAGAAAATTAACAGGCTCCAGTGACTCCTGAAAAACAAAGGATTTGAAATGATACAGTTACATGCACTAACAAGGAATCTGTTATTTAGTGGCTAAGGTAAGAGAAATGCTCACCAGCAAACAACGGGAACAAGAACATATTTTTTTGAGAAAATGTTCTTCTTCTTAATCCATGTCAAAACCTTTTCTTTGGTAGATGCCTTAGTATACAAGCTAAACCATAAAGAATCAAGGCACATAAAACAAGACTTCTTATCCTCCGGTAAGCTCCTCCACAAATTACTACACAAATTTTACCTAAAATCAGCACAAGCTAACTAAATTAAAGGCTACCACAAGAGATTACAGAAACAATATCTTACTCCAAGTGGCACTCAAATTTTCCTGAGTCTAGTTTGTTCTGTTTTCTATTCTGTCGTTTAGAGATTTCATTCTTGCACTTAACAGTTCTCGTTGATCGTTTACGGCAAGGGATTGTATCTAAAAAACACGGGGCATTTAATTCAAAGTCCTTTAACTGTTGTCTAGATGTCTTGATTCTGCGAGAACGCAAATTTGCTAAGACTTGCAGCCAACAAGTGCGATGCTTTAAAATTTGATCAGGAATATCTGCCAGAGCATAACACACTCAGCCATTAATCTTTTTCTATTCATTATTCAATCTAATATTTATATAACTTCAATAAAAAAACACAAGCATAAAATAAATTTAAGTTCCCACAAGTAAAAAAATTAAGTTGAAAAATTCAGTAACATTCTGAACTAATTTAAAGATCTCAAGGATAATCAAAACTAATTATGCATTCTCTCATTTGGGTCATTGTAAAAAGGTGGGCTTGAATGCGATAAATACATAACACACAATCACTCAATCCTGCTGCTTAAATGAAAAACAACTCAAAAACCCTTTTAGGAAAACAATTTTCCCACCATAGTATTTGAAGCAATTCAAAATAACACATCTAGCTTTACTGTATTCACCAACATTTTACCAAAACTAAAACAAAAAAGTGTTACCAGGAGTTTTAGAAACGAGATCAATTGGATTGGTGAGATGGCCAAGCTGTGCTTTCCCCATTTCTTTTCAGTTGTTTCTCAGGAACACTTAGGGTTCTCCCGCTTTTTATTATTTTCCTGCCGTTTTGACTGCAAAGAATTCGTAGTTTCGTACAGGGAAAAATCCAAAATAATAATAATAATAATAACAAATCTTACAAACATTTGTGTACAACATTTGTACACAAACTAACGTGACATAAAATAAAGAGTAATACTATATATATATCATTTTCATATAACATTTTTCATATACCATTATGTGGTAAGATATGATTGACTAATTTAAAGTTAAAAGTAAACTTTCACTCAATCATATCTTACCACGTAATGTTGTATGAGAAATATTGTATGAGAATGATGTATGTATAATATTATTCTAAAATAAATGGAAGAGTGAATATTAAAAGGAGAGAATAAACATTTTTCCACCCAAGGTTCGGCAAAATGACACTTTCCCACTTATCAAGCTTCAAAATGACACATTCCCACCCTTTGTCAAAACCTGTTATGTTTTCTATTAATATTTAACTGAAAAGACGAAAATACTCTTAAATATTTGACTTTATAACTTTTTTTTAATTTTTGAATTAACCAAAAAGTAAGATATTAAAAAGTCAAAAAAGAAAAAATAGTTAGCCCAACTAAAAAGTTAAGAGTAGTACTATCAAATTGTTTAAAGTTAAATGACATTAATATTTATTTATTTATAATGTCATAAATATCTCATCACTATTATTCAATAATCTACTAATATAATGTTTTTTGTTTTTACTAATTAACATATAAAATCTTAATAGTTAATATTCCTAATTAATTAAATAAACACACTTGAGTAAAAACTTTTACTTAACTAAATTTTAATTTATAATAAACTATTTAAGGGACTTTTAGTCAACTATTAACAAAAACACTAACAGACCTAACGAAGGGTGGGAAAATGTCATTTTGAAACTTGATGGGTGGAAAAATATCATTTGGCCAAACCTTGGGTAGGAAAATTTGTTCTCCCCGTATAAAAAGTCAAACCCATCTTATTCACTTTTTCATTTATTTTGTGTCACATCAATTTTTACACAAATCTTTATAAGATTTATTTGTACATATAACATTACTCTAATAATAATAATAATAATAATAATAATAATAATAATAATAATCTTCAGTGTACAATTTCAATAATACTAAATATTCAAATAAATCTTATAAAAATTAAACTGATGTGGCATAGGGAACTTACTCTTTCATTTATTTTCTGTCACATTATTTTGTATATAAATATTTGTATCAATTGTTTGTACATACAGCATTGCTCCTACGGTTTTGGGTGAGGTAATGTTTCTGTTTGTATGGTTTCAACTTTCTATTACTGAGGAAGTGTAAATTGATCAAAATACAGTAACATAAGTTATATAGAATCAAATATCATTTGGGGGATAACACATTTAATAACTTACAAAATGGTACATAAATTTCAAATTATTCGAGAAAGAGATAATTAGTAGTTATTTACCTTCAAACTTAAGCTAAAAAATTTAAAAAAACCTAAATACCCTTAAGTCATAGTTAAAATAAATAAAAATTGAAAAAAACGTTTGGTTAGAGGAAAATACCATTATTATTTCTACATAAATATATTGTTTCTAATTTTTTCCCATATAAATTCAATTACAAGAAGTAAAATAAACACGAGTAGAATATTGTTGTTATGCCAAAACGCAACAATATACCCAATCGACCATGATGAGATTGAGTAGGATGTGTACATGATTAAGAATAACTAATTTGGAATGAGTTAGAAAATCCACAACAAAGTGACAAAAGAGGTTTTTAAAGTGGTTCGACAAGTATAAATCAAATATACGATCAACTGCTATGTTATTGTTTTGTATTTGCTTTACATACATAATGATTACAAGGGAAACACGTAAAAGCAAGGTTAAACTGTGTGTGTGAATCATTCTCTCTCAAAATGGAGATAGAGTCTTCCTTTTATACATCATCTAAAAGTGGTTGAGAGCTATAGTTACGGGATAGATTACACGTATAATCCTCTATAATCTGGATCTGAGTTAACCTCTCTCATACTTAAATCTGAACACACATGTTTAATACTGATAGACTTGTGTAGAAAGCCATTTGCTATGTGAGCGACACATGGGGTAGGCTTAATCGTCAAATCCTGGTTCGATGTGAGGACACGTGGCACAAATCTGGTCGTTGGAAAGTTCATGCACAACAAATTCAAGAAACCCCATACCAACATAATTAACCCTCATAAAATACATTTACTGAAATTTTGAAGAGACAATAGAAAATTCTAACACTGTCAAGAACAATGGGGTGTATTTAGAATTTAACTAATTAAAAGCCCACGACGGCCCACTTTAGATTTGCAAGACAAGACTTTTGAAGTTATATATCATTATAATCCACTACGACCAGCACGCACATTTTCTCTCTTCTAACCTTCCTCCTTTCTCAAGAAATCCTAAACTTGGAAATCTAAGTCACTCAGTAACCCGACTCAGCCATGGATAGCCAAGACGGAACTCAACAACCACACCTTGTACTCGCTCACAAGCGTTTCCTTCTAACTCACCCGGATGTTCAAGACATCGAGAAGGTCCGTCTAAAAGAAGAAGTTTTCGCTATGGTCAAAGCCGACGGTACGTAATTCGCTCGATGCACTTTGAGTCTCTTACAATTTTTTTTTCGAGTTACTCTAGAGTTTTTGTATTGCATTTTAATTTTTGTTGTTTCAAATGTAGATATGGCCACGTTTTATGAAACCCTAGCGGAGGAGTCCGTGCTGGATATGGATCAGAGCGTTCTTGACACGATGCGTGCGAAGATCGACGAGGAGATTAAGAAGTTTGATGAAAAGTGAGTTATTTTTAAGTGCTTTTTTTTAGTTGGTTGCCGAATAATTGGAAGGAAGTAGAAGAGATTTACATTTTTTTTATCTGGTTGTTTACTGAGCTTCTATGTGAAAATTTGAATTTCTTGAATCAGGCTCAATTTAGTGGAGCGGTTTTGTGTTTCGGGTCTAAGTTAATCATTAGTTGTAATTGCGATAATGGAATCATATTTGTTGATTGTGGTTGTTAATGGCTTAATGCTACCGAAATTAAATATTTAACTAATTAATTACGGAGATTGGAACTTAAAGTTTGAAGGGATGCATTGTTTTGATAAACTATGATAGAATGTCCCTCGGGCACACTGCTTGATATTCTGCTTCAAATTGAGTATTTCTTTTTCAAACTGTTGCAAGCATGTCAAATTGGTTGCAGTTTAATGTTATCTCAGTATTTGAGGATAATATGGGTAGTACTGTTATATTGTGTGAGGAAAGGTGGTCGGCTGATTTTTCTCAGTGTTCTTAATGGCTGTGTGCGTTGTTAAAAATCTTGAATAAAAGAATTGAACGCCGTGGTTTTATAGTTGGCTTAGAAGAGAGTCTTACAGTTGTAAACCTTATAAAATGGTTTGGAAGCCCTCTGTGGATTTGGATTTGGATTTCACATCAGTGAATACTGAAGGGAAAACACAAGATGGGTCTGCAGAAATAATTGGGCTTGATGGTACTCTGCTGGAACTTACTAGATTGAACTAGATGTTTAATAGAGCCTTTCGGGGGTGATGGTCTTTACGTAAGGTTTCCCTCTGGCTGCTATTCTAATGTTTTCTTTTATTCTTGTCTTCTTAATCCTCTTTCTCCAAATTTTGTATTCCGATGTTGACCTGAGGACAACGGGACTAGGTTACAGAATAATATTTAGTTTTGAAATTCTGTTGGCCATGTCATTCTCTGTGCTTGAGTTTTATTAATAGCGTAGGTTTCAGCATGAATCGTCTCCCACCCTCCCTCCCACCCTCCTGTTGCTGTAATTTTATTGCGCTGAGCTAAATTTTACAGCTTCAGGAACGCTTAGTGGTTTTTGAGATCTAAGATTATATCATTTAAAGTTGGTAATCAGGGTATTTTGTAGCTCTGATGGAAGAAAACAAGGAATTAGGTGATAACATCCATTTGTGCAAGATAAAATGATAGAAAATTGCCATATTTTGTGCTTGATATATGGTGTTAGAACTCTTGCTGTCCTTTTCTTATTTGGTTGGCTCATGTCTTTTAATATCATAGACTATAAAATAATGAATAAGTAAATATCTTGGATGAATATAATAATTTTCTCTGAAACTGAATTTTTCTTTCAGAGGCTAAGTTTGTTGACTCTCTTTGATTTCCATTTCTCTAAATTATACTATATATGTCTTTTCTGAGCCTATTTGGTTATCATAGGATTTTGCTTGTAATAATAAGCAAAAAAGTATTTGATTGTTATATTTTGGTAACAGATGTCTGGCTGACTTTTGGTTTTGCTTGATTTCTGTGTTTGTTTAGGATTGAGTCTCTTTATTTTGTCAAAAATCAAAGCTTGGATGAAACTTGCAAAACATTCTCACAAGAAAGATTATTAAATTTTAAATGGTGCAAATCCAGTATTTAATGGGAGATATTTCATGGATTTGAAAGCCTGACCTAATGTGCCATAGATAATGGAAACATTGTAAATTGAGTCAGTGTCGGATGTTGTGGGTGAATCATTGGATGTTTGTTTTGAATCATGTCAAATAAGAGCCCTCCCATGGCTCCTGCTTATATTTTATTGGAAAGCAATCAGTAAATGGGTAATCATTTCTTTTGGTTGTCTTTTATAGGATTGCTGATGCTGAAGAGAATTTGGGTGAAAGTGAAGTTCGTGAAGCTCATTTAGCTAAGTCATTATTTTACATTCAGATTGGTGATAAGGTATATAACTATTATGACTTGTTGCTTTTTGTAGTATTTTAGTCCACAATTATATGCTTTTTGTGCATTTGTTGTTTTAATTAAAAAATTGTCCCACTTGAACCCAGGAAAAAGCTTTGGAACAACTGAAGATAACAGAAGGCAAAACAGTTGCTGTTGGGCAAAAGATGGATTTGGTGTTCTATACACTGCAGCTTGGGTTTTTCTACATGGATTTTGATCTTATTTCCAAGAGCATTGATAAGGCCAAGAAGTGCGTCAGCAATTTCCGACGACCTTTTTCATTTACA